GAGCTAAGTTTAATCCACCATTTGAAGATGGAAAGAGGAAAATCTAATAGTTGACATGGAGGTCCAACTAAACTGACCGCTAGAGAGGCAGCCAAGAGGCCCAGAGCAACTCAAAAGATGCTGCAGAGAATTTGGACAGAACATCCACAAATATGTCCTTTATGAGTGAATGGAAAGAGGGAAGCCATTAGAAATCCTGTTGGGTTTTTTTTTCCATCTTTTATTGTCATTACACTGTCACAAGTACGGAGCAAAAAAATAAACTCTCTGCATTTAGAGGAGGAGTCCGGTCAGTAAGGAATAACCAATGGATCATTATTTATACCTAAAACTAATACGTTCACTGTGATTTAACCCCTAGAACCCGACGGACCCACCGGTGGGTCCAGCTGCCACGTGACCTCGCCTCGCTTTATAAACAAAGGCTCCACGTGCCTTTAATTTTTTCTTTTATTTTTTATCCGCTAAAAGAGGCTTTAATCTTTCAAAAACTATTCTGCATAAAGGTTTTGCCCAAAATGTTAAGATTTTAGAGATATTTAAAAACAGCTGATGAGATTTAAAGTTGTAGTTTGTGGTAGTGTAGTTGTGTAGTTATTTATTTTTTTTTTTTACTTTTTTTTTTCAAAATTGTTTATTTGTTCTTGGAAATTAATTCAAAAAGTATTTTTGACTGTTTTTATTATTTTATTTTATTATTATACATATTATACTGTGCACAATGGTACATTTTGCATATAAATGGGGTAAATGTCATGACCAATGGTTATATTATATGTAGAAAGTGTCATTAGATGGTAATAAGCTATTTAATTTTTTTTAAAAACACATTAGGCAGTTTGGTGACATTTATGGATAAATGTGCCAAAATGGCCTCTCCGCCTAAGAAATTTCTCACTAATACCATTCTAAAATAAATATGATTCATCTGATTGAGTCCAAATTTGGTATATTTTTACACAACATTTAGATTTAAAAGTCTGTACTACTTTTTTTGTGCTATAATATTTTGGTAGTGTTTTGCAATGTCTATTTCAAAGAAAATTTAGGTGAGGTTCAAAAAATGCAAAATATTTTGTATTTTGTCCCTAATATTTCAGGCAGGGTCAAAGCTACAATGGTGCTGACACCAGAAAACCATTCTATGACATCTTACCTTTACAGACGTACCAAAAGTTTCTTCTTAAATCTAATAGCTGTGAGGCTATAAGTGATTTACTTTTGTGTGTTTTTGTCAGGCAGAAATTTATTTATACCCCCTGAGGGTGTAATTTGGCGTCAATCAGTAAAAAAATAAACAATTTTTGTCACGATCACTGAGTCTGGGAGCGGCCATTTTAGCCAAAATATAGTAGCCCCTCCCTCCTGCCATCTTCCAGCAGTGACGTCACGGTGCGGTAAGCCTAGCGCCATTCTCCCCGCTTTACAAGCTAAATCAATGGGAACTACTAGACACATCTGCAATCAACAACAATTATTGAAGATTTCCAGAGGACTTCACCATTGAAATTCACCAGAGCTATAGTGAAACTGACAATGCCCACGTGCATGGCAGCTGGATGCTGGAATACATCGGGTAAAAGTGGAAAAAAAGAGTTATTCCACCTTTCTGATTCCTGATCCTCCACGGACGGGTTGGTCGTTGGATCGCCAACTGGAAGAGGGAGGATTTGCCATCGAACTTCTGGCCAGAGAAAAAACACGTAATATGTAGCCAACATTTGGAAGAAGAATGTTTTCAAGAAGTGTGTATTCTGAATGTGACCGGACTTTTCCTTTAACCCATCCGCTTGGGGAGCAGTGGGCTGCCATTGTGCGGTGCCCAGGGAGCAGTGTGGCAGTCTGTGGGAGTGAGGCTCAAACTCAGAACCTCAGGATTACAAGCTCTATGCCCTAACCTGTAGGCCGCCACTCCTCATTGTTTGCAAAACCACCAGCCATAGAAAACAGCCATAGGAGTAGCAGAGGTGGGTAAAACAGTTGCATTTACTCTTTTAAATTTAATTGAATAACATTTTTTTTTTTTTTATTAAAAACTTCCAGGAGTAACCTGCTTTTACTGCACGCTATTATGTACTTACCTCAATATCAAGGTTTCTGCAGTAAGGCCAACAGACGTGCTGTTTGTAAACAAGTTAATGTAGTTTTTCATCTGTTGAGTCTGACACCTGGATGTCAGGTGAATATGAGGTATAAACTTCTACCTCTTTAAGAACATACAGTTTGAACCTAACTATGTGAAAAAGTGTTCAAAAATGAAGAGTGATTGAGCAACTTCATACTTATAATGTGAGAATTTCATCAATTATAGAATGAATTATTAAAAAATTTAATGAAGTAATTTTTAAAAAATCTGATAAAAATTAGAATTATTATTTACTAGATAGGTCTACTCTTCTATGTTATTGGGGGGTGGGGGGGCTTTCTTAATATGAATGAATTTATATGTAATTCTATACTTACTGAGTAAATATTTAGGCCATTGAACTCTACCCACCTCTGGAGCATTTTATTTGATTGAAACATGTTTGAGTTTGTTCACTAACTGAAGGCACTAACTGTCCACTGAACGCAGCCGTGAATAAAACCTCATCACTAAACATCCCTCCTGCTGGTTCCTTTCTAGAGAAAGTTATCCAACTGCTCCAGCAGGAATTCCCTGAGCCTCTGAGCCAGCTTAGTGCTGCACCCAAACAAGGTCAAGTGCAACCATTTTTAAACACACTGACAAGAGTTTTTGGATAACCTTTCAAAATAAAAGCTTTTTCTGAGCTTAAGCTTTTATTTTGCCTCCATTACGGTACATGTTACAGCCAGGATTTCTCTTATGTACAGCTAAAGCTAGAATACATACAAAATAACTTATTAAAATTAGACATACGTGTCTTAAGATTGTCCTCAATGTCCATTTGTTGTTTCTCTGAAGCATCTTGTTAACCAGTTAGCAACTTATTGCTAGTAGGTTCCCAATGGGAAATTCCATTGGGACCAAGTAGCACTAAATTGGTGACTTAGAAACGACGCTGTCAAGGAACGCTATGGACAGCGGAAACATGCAAGAGGAGGAGAGTTTAGTGTCGGAGGTCGTGGATGAGTCTCCTCCGTCATCAATTTTTTATTTAGAGGAGGAAAGCGGGGACGAAGATGTTGTGGAAGAGGACGCCAGGGCGGCAGAAGCTTGGTTTGGTGTAGAAGGCTTCCAGCCGTCCATGTTTGAGCCCTTGCCTCGCAACGCTGCCAGTTCTGTTAGCTCTACGCCTGCCGAAGACACAGACGTCCATCCCCGTGAACACTGGGACGCAACTCAATGGGAAAGGAAAGGATTCTCATTTCAACCATTGCGTTTATTAGCTGCGACATATGAATCAAGATGCTATGACCGAAAAAATTTGATTGACAGATGACCGTTGATATATGATTGGCCAAATTTAGGTGCTCAGGCTGACGTAGAACTAACTGGCCTGCAGAAGATAACAGAAAAAACACAGATTTTAAGAAAGGATTTTTTTTTTAAAGAAACTTTCTAAATTTTGGGACAGTATCGTCTATTAAAGAGTACATTTATATACATTTTTTAGCCAGAATAATTAGACATTTAAATATAATTTCCCTATGATGGAGGTCTTCAACAGGGGGTCCGCGACCCCTAGGGGGTCCACTGAGGTTCTGCATGGGGGTCGCGAAAGTTTTGGTTTATTAGCCATCTTTTATATTCCCCCCTGCAATTTTTCCCACTATTTGAAATGTCTTTAAATCCACATTAACATGAATCCAACAGACTGTAGTAAACAGATAAATGGAGGCAGAAGATGTCTTTCAGTCATCAATGCTCACATTCAGCGACACACAGGAGCTCTTTCAAACTGGACACCGTTTGATTCACAACACCTGTCCCATCAACCAGGAATCAGAAATACTTTAATAATCCCAGGGAGGGATTACTTTAGTTACATTACTCCATCTGTAATAGTGACTATATGTAACCACCCGCGCAAGGATGAAACAAACTCAGTCCTAAAAATATACGTTCTTTATTAAACAAATAGACAGAAAATCCTTTACCTCTCTTTCTACGAAACTGATAGCCTAGGGTAGACAATATAATATTTAAACTCTGACATTAGTGGATGGCGGACAAACCCGCATAACCAGAACCAAAGTCGCACACTTATAAGGCTTCACAGCAATCAGGTGAAAAAAACACTGCACACGATCGCCACTCAGCACTGCAGACGATCAGATGCAATATAGCATTGTCTACCAGCTCACAGCCTCGTGGGAGAGTGAACAAGGAGAAAACAAACAGATCAATGAAAAAAGATAAAAAAAACAAAACAGTTAGTCCGCCCTCACAAGTAAACAACGGGACCAAAAGCATCAAACAGGGTCGGACTAACTAAAAGAAACACAACATAAACCTAAGGACAGCAGGAGCAACAAAAAACATCTCTGTAAACAAACAGAAAACACCAAATTACAAAAATAATGCAATCAAAATATTATTTTAATGACTACCTTAAAATCTCTAAAAATACCTGTATCGCGTACACCACCCTCATCTGCCTGTATACACAGCCTGGTCTAAAAAGGGCCTCCTAACAAGGAAAAGAACGGTTAAAATTTACATTTGTCATAATAAAAGTTCAATATAACCCACACTCTAAAAACACTCACCCACATTCTTGACAAATCTACAACGTGTGGAACCCAGATACGTCCTGGCGTCCCATGGAAACTGACACCTTTTAAGAAAGTTTGCAGCTTCCGCTTTTATACTGCTTGGACCACGCCCACCATACCACCTGTAACATCTAGGAACAGTTAATATGAAACAATGTCATACAATATATAGGATTAGGGGGCCCCCGCTCCATCTCGCCATCTATTTGGGGTCCTTGGTCTGGAAAACGTAGAAGACCCCTGGACTAGGAATTTAATTTCTTGTTATGCTTTTATTTTGAAAGTTGTGTCACTCGTCTTCCGGTTTCACAATTAAAGCTGACACAGAGGTGACAGCGTGGATCTGCAGGACTTTGACACTATGATCCACTGAGAACTAGTTGAAGTGAAGCTGCTGGAGCTGCTACCGGCCATGGCTGACCTGTGGGTGTCCCTGGGGGTGTTGACCGCCGCGGTGCTCCTCTGTGAGGCGGCTCGCTGCGCTACAGCCCGTCTGCTCCGCGGAGTTTACTGGACTTACCTGCTGGAAGCGGTGTCCACCTTCCAGCTCTGCTGCTGCACGCAGGAACTCAAACTGCTTGGCGAATCCATCCGCCTGGACCTTTCCACCAGCTTGACTCTCACTTATTTCGTAACGTTTGTCCATCTATCAACTTTCAGGGAAGCGACATGTAATCCCGCCGCGGCTCTGGAGAGCTTCTGCCGCGGCGCGTCCAGCGTCTGGGAAGCGGCGCTGCTCATATCCCTCCAGATGGGGGCTGCGGTGGCCGCGCAGGGCTGGGCAGCCACCGTGTGGTCCCTGGGTCTGTCAGATATGCACCTCCGGCACCAGAAGTTTGGGTTCCGTTGCTTCGACCCGCTCGGTGGGACGCCGCTGGAAGCTGCTGCTGTGGAAATGTTCTGCGCGTTCACGGTGCAGGCTGTGGCCACGCACATCCACAGGCTGGACGAGAGGCTCAGAGTTCACTGCTTCGCTGCGGTCATCACCGCTTTGGTTTATGCAGGTGCGCTGATTGGAGGCCCACCCCAACCTGCAAACATGAGATATATTAACAAGTTACCACGGAGTATCAGGGCAAGGCTTTTTCCCTTCTATTTCGAGAATAAAGTCGTAACATTACGAGAATAAAGTTGTAACATTACGAGAACTAAGTTATAACATTACGAGAATAAAGTTGTAACATTTCGAGAATAAAGTTGTAACATTACGAGAATAAAGTTGTAACATTTCGAGAATAAAGTTGTAACATTACGAGAATAAAGTTGTAACATTTCGAGAATAAAGTTGTAACATTACGAGAACAAAGTTGTAACATTTCGAGAATAAAGTTGTAACATTACGAGAATAAAGTCGTAACATTAAGAGAATAAAGTTGTAACATTACGAGAATAAATTGTGACATTACGAGAATAAAGTCGTAACATTGTGGGAATAAAGTCGTAAAATTACGATAACAAAGTCATAACATTACGAGAACAAAGTCGTAACATTACGAGAATAAAGTTGTAACATTTCGAGAATAAAGTTGTAACATTACGAGAATAAAGTTGTAACATTTCGAGAATAAAGTTGTAACATTACGAGAACAAAGTTGTAACATTTCGAGAATAAAGTTGTAACATTACGAGAATAAAGTCGTAACATTAAGAGAATAAAGTTGTAACATTACGAGAATAAATTGTGACATTACGAGAATAAAGTCGTAACATTGTGGGAATAAAGTCGTAAAATTACGATAACAAAGTCATAACATTACGAGAACAAAGTCGTAACATTATGAGAATAAAGTTGTAACATTTCGAGAATAAAGTTGTAACATTACGAGAATAAAGTTGTAACATTTCGAGAATAAAGTTGTAACATTTCGAGAACAAAGTTGTAACATTACGAGAATAAAGTTGTAACATTTTGAGAATAAAGTTGTAACATTACGAGAACAAAGTTGTAACATTTTGAGAATAAAGTTGTAACATTACGAGAATAAAGTCGTAACATTAAGAGAATAAAGTTGTAACATTACGAGAACAAAGTTGTAACATTACGAGAATAAAGTTGTAACATTTCGAGAATTAAGTTGTAACATTACGAGAACAAAGTTGTAACATTTTGAGAATAAAGTTGTAACATTACGAGAATAAAGTCGTAACATTAAGAGAATAAAGTTGTAACATTACGAGAATAAATTGTGACATTACGAGAATAAAGTCGTAACATTGCGGGAATAAAGTCGTAAAATTACGATAATAAAGTCGTAACATTACGAGAACAAAGTCGTAACATTACGAGAATAAAGTTGTAACATTTCGAGAATAAAGTTGTAACATTACGAGAATAAAGTTGTAACATTTCGAGAATAAAGTTTAACATTACGAGAACAAAGTTGTAACATTTCGAGAATAAAGTTGTAACATTACGAGAATAAAGTCGTAACATTACGAGAATAAAGTTGTAACATTACGAGAATAAATTGTGACATTACGAGAATAAAGTCGTAACATTGCGGGAATAAAGTCGTAAAATTATGATAACAAAGTCATAACATTACGAGAACAAAGTCATAACATTACGAGAACAAAGTCGTAACATTACGAGAATAAAGTTGTAACATTTCGAGAATAAAGTTGTAACATTACGAGAATAAAGTTGTAACATTTCGAGAATAAAGTTGTAACATTTCGAGAATAAAGTTGTAACATTACGAGAACAAAGTTGTAACATTACGAGAATAAAGTTGTAACATTTCGAGAATAAAGTTGTAACATTATGAGAACAAAGTTGTAACATTTTGAGAATAAAGTTGTAACATTACGAGAATAAAGTCGTAACATTAAGAGAATAAAGTTGTAACATTACGAGAATAAATTGTGACATTACGAGAATAAAGTCGTAACATCGCGGGAATAAAGTCGTAAAATTACGATAATAAAGTCGTAACATTACGAGAACAAAGTCGTAACATTACGAGAATAAAGTTGTAACATTTCGAGAATAAAGTTGTAACATTACGAGAATAAAGTTGTAACATTTCGAGAATAAAGTTGTAACATTACGAGAATAAAGTTGTAACATTTCGAGAATAAAGTTTAACATTACGAGAACAAAGTTGTAACATTTCGAGAATAAAGTTGTAACATTACGAGAATAAAGTCGTAACATTACGAGAATAAAGTCGTAAAATTATGATAACAAAGTCATAACATTACGAGAACAAAGTCGTAACATTACGAGAATAAAGTCTTAAAATTTTGAGAACAAAGTCGTAACATTACGAGAATAAAATTGTAACATTTCGAGAATAAAGTCGTAACATTACGAGAATAAAGTTGTAACATTGCGGGAATAAAGTCGTAAAATTACGATAACAAAGTCATAACATTACGAGAACAAAGTCGTAACATTACGAGAATAAAGTCTTAAAATTTTGAGAACAAAGTCGTAACATTACGAGAATAAAGTTGTAACATTTCGAGAATAAAGTCGTAACATTACGAGAATAAAGTTGTAACATTACGAGAATAAAGTTGTAACATTACGAGAATAAAGTCGTAACATTGCGGGAATAAAGTCGTAAAATTACGATAACAAAGTCATAACATTACGAGAACAAAGTCGTAACATTACGAGAATAAAGTCTTAAAATTTTGAGAACAAAGTCGTAACATTACGAGAATAAAGTTGTAACATTTCGAGAATAAAGTCGTAACATTATGAGAATAAAGTTGTAACATTACGAGAATAAAGTTGTAACATTACGAGAATAAAGTCGTAACATTGCGGGAATAAAGTCGTAAAATTACGATAACAAAGTCGTAACATTACAAGAACAAAGTCGAAAAACATTACGAGAATAAAGTCTTAAAATTACGAGAATAAAGTCTTAAAATTACGAGAATAAAGACGTAACATTACAAGAATAAAGTCGTAAAATTACGAGAACAAAGTGGTAACATTACGAGAATAAAGTCGTAAAATTACGAAAACAAAGTCGTAACATTAGGAGAATAAAGTCCTAACATTACGAGAATAAAATATTAACATTACGAGAATAAGGTCGTAACATTAAGAGAACAAAGTCGTAAAATTACGAGAACAAAGTGGTAACATTACGAGAATAAAGTCGTAAAATTACGAGAACAAAGTCGTAACATTAGGAGAATAAAGTCGTAACATCACGAGAATAAAGTAACATTACGAGAATAAAATAGTAACATTACAAGAATGAAGTCGTAACATTAAAAGAATAAGGTCGTAACATTAAGAGAACAAAGTCGTAACATTACGAGAACAAAGTCGTAAAATTACGAGAACAAAGTTGTAACATTAGGAGAACAACGTCGTAATAATAGGAGAACAAAGTCGTAACATTATGAGAACAAAGTCGTAACGTTACGAGAACAAAGTCGTAACATTACAAGAACTCGTAACATTACGAGAATAAAGTCATCATAGACTCAACCTGTCTTTCAGAAGTTTGTACTCTGAATATGTCCGAACTTTTCCTTTAAAAACGCCAGCAGATGGACAATATCACCATAGTTCTTCATAGAGATACTTTCACAACTCAAATCGTGAGAGTTTTGTTTTGTGATTTCTTTCATTGCAGAAAAACGTATGTGTGGTTTCAGCAAGTGTGGGATAAAGAAGCAGCAATTCCTTTTTGCTTCTAAGTTTATTCTTTCTTCTTTCTGCAGGTGGAAGCATTTCCGGGGCTGTTTTTAATCCTGCCTTGGCTTTTTCCATTCAGTTCCCCTGCAGTGGTCACACGTACCTTGAATACTGCTTTATCTACTGGTTGGGACCAATATTGGGTAATGAGATACTTTTGTTCATAGCATTTTACTCTGTGTAGTATTTTTTTTAAGTTTCATATTCAACACAGGTTATATTTGCAAGGTAACCTCTGTGTCTGCAGGCATGGCGAGCTGCATCCTCCTGTTTGAGAAGATCATCCCCTTCCTCTCTGGAAAGAGCACCATCGGGATGCACAGCTCTAATGAGCAGAAAGAGAAGATGCAGTAGTTTTAGTTCATTTTGTTTTATATGATGGACTGGATATCCCTGGATAATCAAGATTATTTAATCTCTTATCGATGCACAAATGCACAGGATCAAATAGGGCTTTATGCAGCTCTAATCATGACTGATGTCAAAAGACAAGGTATGCTGCAGGAGAGCACAGAACTAAATACATATGCAAAACATTTAGATGAAGAAAGCACAATTAGAAGAGCAACAAATCTGAACATTAACCTAAATAATTAACCAGAAGTCAAAAGCCTGGATTTAAAAAGGTTTATAGAGAGCTAGTTTGAAAGTTTTGTTTCAGGGAGCGTGAAATCTCAATGGAGAGGCTCACAGTCCATGGTGACTAAAACAACTCATAACTACTTTAGCACAAATACATAGGCAAATAATTACCAATAATAAAATGCATAGAATAAAAAAAGGTACATTAAGAACATTTACATTATTTGCCAAAGAATGAACCAATTTGTATTTATCCAAAAAAGTGGGACTCTCTTTCCTTATATTAGCAGGTGATGGTAATCTGTAGAGATATGCTGGTGAAGGTTGTCAGTCATCCAGGTCTTAGTCATTCCAAAAAAAATTAAAAATAATCCACTGGACTTGGTTTACAAGTTTGAAGACGTTTTGCTTCCCATCCAGTAAGCTTTATCAATGTAAATGTCAGGATTAGCGTTGAATAGCACTACTGTGTATAACATGGAACGCTATTCTTGACATTTTAACTGAAAAAGCTTCCTGGATGGGAAGCGAAACGTCTTCAAACTTGGAAACTAAGTCAAGGGGATTGTTAATTTTTTTGGAATAATGTGAAGAGACAAACTAATAATGGTGTGTTGTAGCACCACTAACCTTGGAAGTAGGGTTGCCAACCGTCCCTTGAAAAACTGAATTGTTCCGTTTTTTGAAACAGAATTAAATTTTCAATTCAGTTTATTTATATAGCGCCAAATTCACAACACGTGTCATCTCAAGGCACTTTATAGTTCAACCAGATCATACTGTCAAATTGATACAAAGTTTTCTATCTAAGGAAAACCAGCTGATTGCATCGACTCATTTACTCAAATACAATCCCTCACACTAAGCATTCTTGTAGCGACAGTGGAGAGGAAAAACTCCCTTTGAACAGGAAGAAACCTCCAGCAGAACCAGGCTCAGTGTGAGCGGCCATCTGCTGAGGCCGACTGGGGTTCATGGAGACAGAAGCAGACATAGAAAAAGCAGCTGTAAAAGGCGACCCCATCCAGGAAACACACAGCCAGGCAGACGAGCTCTGAGCCAGCTCCCATGCCAGAGGAAGAAAAGAGCACATCCAGTTAGTCACAGTCAGAGAAACAGGACCACACTGCAAAATAGGCCGATCTCCAGCATCTCTAAACCAAAGTACCTGTCCCATATTAAGTGGAAAAGGAACTCACTTCGTCCCGTATTACTGAGACAGTAAAAAATAGCTAATGGAAAATAAAGAAAAAGGGCACGTTAGATACGAAACTTACGGTAAACTTGTTCCTGTCCCTGTCCTGCATTGTGACCAATGAGCTGAAAACATATATGTAACGATCCAGAATCCCCTCATCCCATTGGTCGAGCCAAGTGTTGCTCATGGAGAAGATAGCGGGAAACAACAGAGCAGTATGGGGGATGAACGGAGGAATTTAAATGCTGATGCTGCTTTTGGGGGCGGTGCACCTTCGAATAGCGATGATCCTCCAAAAAAAAAAGGATGCAGAAATTTAGGGAGGAATGGGAAAAAACAAATACGTGGGTGGAAAAAGTCAGCGATTGTGAATATAAAGCACAATGCACGGTGTGCCGGCGCACTATTTCTGCAGCCCACAAATATGCATCTAATTCAATGCAGATTTGAGTCAAATAATTTTTAAAAATCCTTTCACACACAAAGCGGGGCTAAAACAAAAACCACCACGCCAGGAGGGGTAAAGGCAATCGGGTCAGCTGGCATGCACATGAGGTGTCCCTGTCTTTTTTTCAGGGAGTTGGCAACCATATTTGGAAGGTTTCATTTGTTTAATCAGGATTAATTAGTTATAAAACACAATTATCTTCATCTTTGTACACACTTTACTATTGAAAATAGCACTTTGAAGATATTGTGGGACTTTCTGTTCTCGCAGCTTAAATGAAGGATAGTTGTTTTGAAACACTAGCTAACGTTAGCTAGCTAATAGCTAATCAGAGACACCATTTTTAAACATAAATCATCAATTACAAGACTTTCTGTCTTCGTCACTCCTTTCTGGTTTGAGTGATTTTATCGTTTAAAGCATAATTAAGGGCTCATTCTAATAGTTAGAAAAACCAATTGAGCAGTTATTAAACGCTGTCTATGCTAACTCACAGTCCTAGCATTGAGCACAAAACTTTAGTTCATTGCATCCCTTAAAGAATTATCTTTATTTATTATCAAATTAATCATATGAAAAACAAGAGTTTTTATTTTATTTTGCTCAAACTTTGTTTGGTTAACATTGCATTAGATGCAATAGATCCACTTTTAAGATTTATTGAAATTTTACAATTACCTTAATAATAAAAAGTGCATTCCGTTAAATTATCTTCCATAAAAAGACAAATCAGAGGCACAGGTTAGATTTAGTGACAACAGCTGAACATGAATATTTCCTATTAATATTATCAATAAGGGGAAAAACCTTAAACATAAAACATGCCAAATGTCTAAAGGCACAACAGTGAGAGTGAATGTGCATTTACATGTTTATTATCTATCGAATGTCTCTATAAATATCATGATCAGTAATCATGTTCTCAGGTCCTTTTCTAGTACTTTGCTTTCCATCTAACTCCATGCATTTATAAAGTTTAAAGACACACATTTCTAAGAATGTATTTAAACAGACCAGCTAAATGCAATAAGTTCAATAATTAATGACAACCAGTTATCTTAAGGGATCAATAAGTTAATCTCCAATTAGTGATAAAAGATGGAACTGTCTGCTAGTTCTGTCATTTAATTTAAGGATAAAATGGCTTTCAGATAACTTTTTTAATTTATTTAAATCTAACCTAAAATATGCAAGTGTTCATTATTAAATAAAATAAAACAATCAGCCATGTCTTCTGCTCACGTGTGGAAGGATGGATTCTACATGCACACTACCTACCTACCCGTCTGCATTTCTGTCTAGAAATAGCTGATAATGCTGATGTAATTTAAAATATCTGAATGCACTTTATTTTGAGTGGTAATCACGGAAGAGGATTAGGGCCACTGAAGACATAAAAATAGTTAACAGATTTTTAAATATAATTTCAGTTTAATAAGGGAAAAAAGTCAGTATTCTGACTTTAATCTCAGTATTCTGACTTTAATCTCAGAATTCAGACTTATTTTTTCTCAGAATTCTGACTTTAATCTCAGAATTGTGTCTTTAATCTCAGTATTCTGACTTTAATCTCAGAATTCAGACTTTCGTCTCTCAGAATTCTGACTTTAATCTCAGAATTGTGTCTTTAATCTCAGTATTCTGACTTTAATCTCAGAATTCTGACTTTAATCTCAGAATTCAGACTTTTTTCTTCTCAGAATTCTGACTTTAATCTCAGAATTATGTCTTTAATCTCAGTATTCTGACTTTAATCTCAGAATTCAGAATTTTTTTTCTCAGAATTCTGACTTTAATCTCAGAATTGTGTCTTTAATCTCAGTATTCTGACTTTAATCTCAGAATTCAGACTTTAATCTCAGAATTGTGTCTTTAATCTCAGTATTCTGACTTTAATCTCAGAATTCAGACTTTTTTTTCCCTCAAAATTGTGACTTTAATCTCAGTATTCTGACTTTAATCTCAGAATTCAGAATTTTTTCCTTAGAATTCTGTCTTTAATCTCAGTATTCTGACTTTAATCTCAGAATTCAGACTTTTTTCCTCAGCATGCTGACTTTAATCTCAGAATTGTGTCTTTAATCTCAGTATTCTGACTTTAATCTCAGAATTCAGACTTTAATCTCAGAATTGTGTCTTTAATCTCAGTATTCTGACTTTAATCTCAGAATTCAGACTTTTTTTTCCCTCAAAATTGTGACTTTAATCTCAGTATTCTGACTTTAATCTCAGAATTCAGAATTTTTTCCTTAGAATTCTGTCTTTAATCTCAGTATTCTGACTTTAATCTCAGAATTCAGACTTTTTTCCTCAGCATGCTGACTTTAATCTCAGTATTATGACTTTAATCTCAGAATTCAGACTTTTTTTTCTCAGAATTCTGACTTTAATCTCAGTATTCTGACTTTAATCTCAGAATTCAGACTTTTTTTCCTCAGAATTCTGTCTATAATCTCAGTATTCTGACTTTTTTTTCCCTCAGAATTCTGTCTATAATCTCAGTATTCTGACTTTAATCTCAGAATTCAGACTTTTTTCCTCAGAATTCTGTCTATAATCTCAGTATTCTGACTTTTTCCCCCTCAGAATTCTGTCTATAATCTCAGTATTCTGACTTTAATCTCAGAATTCAGACTTTAATCTCAGAATTCTGACTTAAATCTCAGAATTCAGACTTTTTTTCCTCAGTATTCTGACTTTAATCTCAGAATTCAGACTTTTTTTCCTCAGAATTCTGACATTAATCTCAGTATTCTGACTTTAATCTCAGAATTCAGACTTTAATCTCAGTATTCTGACTTTAATCTCAGAATTCTGACTTAAATCTCAGAATTCAGACTTTTTTTCCTCAGAATTCTGACATTAATCTCAGTATTCTGACTTTAATCTCAGAATTCAGACTTTAATCTCAGTATTCTGACTTTAATCTCAGAATTCTGACTTAAATCTCAGAATTCAGACTGAATTCTGACAGCTAACAAACATGTTGGCATCGAGCCGTAGCCATGTCTAGAGACTGAACTATCTTGTTTTAATCACCTTCTGCTCTTCCATTAATGAAATATCATCACCAGGGACCCCTCAGGGGCGTAAAAAGTCGCCTAATTCCATCATTTTCCACCAATGTGTCACTGGCCCTCCCAAATGACTCACATCTTTGTCAGTGAAGCTGAGCGCTCCACATCCTTCATGGTGCCCATCTACATTAAGATCCAACATTCTGAGGTAAAAGTCAGAATTCTGAGAAAAAAAGTCAGAATTCTGACTGTTTTCCATATTAAACTGAAATAATATGTAAAAATCAGTTAACTTTTGTTTTCAGTGGCACTAATCCTCTTCCATAAATAATCCTGATTTTGAAAGAAAAAACTTCTTTGATTGCTTTTCTTTGCTTTCGGTGATAAATATGGGGTACTGAGGTTGCTTCAGTTGCACCACAGTTTTTTGTTTTTTTTTACTGTTGATTGATTGCTTGAAGTCTGATTGCTTGATTATTACCGTGCACTTTAGTCTGGGTAATATGCTCTCTTTTTACAAGTGAATGGTATTTGAATGTAATATTACTGAAAGGACTATTGTTAATGTACTTATCATTGTTAAATTTTGTCTTGAAAATGAAATCTTACTCCTGTTTGCACCTCAGCAGTCAGCAAAAAGACTTTTGTCCAAAAGTAACACCTGCATCATTTCTGTTAAGAAGAACGTGATAAAACTCATTTACTGTCAAATTTCTGACTCTGTCAGGGAAATGTACAATATGTTTCTAAGAAACATAGTTTTATATAAGGTGATAATTAAAATGCTTTAATTTCTTATAATGTGTAAAGTATTTTTTATTGGAATACAGGTTTAACACCGAGTTTAGTATTTGAGACTATGTTTTGGAGATGTGGTGGATGCAGAATTATTCATCTTTCATTTGATTGACCTGAGTGAAGTTTCCTTATATTTAGATCTATGAAATGTTTCTAATATTACAGCATATAAGTATAATTATCACAATATCAAGATTTAATAATATGATGAAAATACTTGTTTACTTTTCCATTTACAAAGTGTTAAAATCTTCTAAGTGGAAACTAATGTTGATCTTTTCTATTGTCATTTTTAATTGCT